GGCGGCGTGTGAGGTTTCGTTTCCCTCCTCCTCCGCTGGAGCTTCTATCGGCCCACCATCCCGTATCCAGGGGTAAGCAAACCCTAAACCCTAAACCCTAAACCCTAAACCCTAAACCCTAAACCCTAAACCCTAGAGGGTAACACTGTGAAGGTCTTACACTGCGAAGACACTCTACGCACTTTCAGCTTATCTGATATTTTATTTGGGGCTAGGGATGTTTGCTTGAGGGTTTAGGGTTTAGGGTTTAGGGTTTGGGGTCTAGGGTTTAGGGTTTAGGGTTTAGGGTTTAGGGTTTGTGTCTTCTTGTGTGCAGCTGTGCATTCCTTCGAGACGCCGTACTTTAAGGGATCGTAAGTTTACTACTTTTTGCTTAGGGTTTAGGGTTTAGGGTTTAGGGTTTAGGGTTTGACGCTTGTGCGTGGTCTAGGGTTTAGGGTTTAGGGTTTAGGGTTTGTGAGGAATGTACAGAATGATTGCATGCGCCGCGGGGGTAGGAGATATGAAGGATTGTGGTTTGGGGGCGCCGAATGCAACGATGAGGGTTTTGATTCAGGTACGAGGGTTTAGGGTTTAGGGTTTAGGGTTTAGGGTTTAGGGTTTAGGGTTTAGTAGGGTTTACAGTGCATCAACGGCCATCATTTTTTCTGTAGAAATGAATATAACTCCTCCTTCTCTCAAACTCAGTATATAAAATCTAGGGTTTAGGTTCTAGGGTTTAGGGTTTAGGGTTTAGGGTTTAGGGTTTAGGGTTTGTGATTAGGGTCAGTTTCTCCACCCATGGCGACTAGGAGAGGTTCTATCAGGTCAAGTGTTCTCTCGCCCCCTGCAGCATCTACCCCCCCGCTGGATTGTCTCTTTAGGAATTAAAGTTGTTAAAACCCTCACAGACCTCATCGAGGTAGGGTTTAGGGTTTAGGGTTTAGGGTTTAAGGGTTTAGGGTTTATGGTTTAGGTTTTAGGGTTTAAGGGTTTAGGGTTTACGGTTTAGGGTTTAGGGGTTAGAGTTTAAGGGGTTAGGGTTTAGGGTTTAAGGGTTTAGGGTTTAAGGGTTTCGGGTTTAAGGGTTTAGGGTTTAGGGTTTCAGGGTTTAGGGTTTATGTCTTCGGCTGTACGAGCTCCAGCCTGTGGAGGGTTTGCGAGGGTTTGCGGGGTCTGAAGGCTCAACTAGGGTTTAGGGTTTAGGGTTTAGGGTTTAGGGTTTAGGGTTTTGTGTGCAGGAGGATATATGCTCGGAGACGGAACCCTACTTTTTGTCTCCTCTTGTTTGTCTCGCTGACAAAATTAGCGTTGTAGAGTAAACCCTAAACCCTAAACCCTAAACCCTAAACCCTAAACCCTAAACCCTAGATATGTTATAGAGGAAATTCAGAGTGGATAGTGTGTGCATCTGTATAAACCTTTTTTTATTGCGGTGGTTTAGGGTTTAGGGTTTAGGGTTTTGCATGTATAATCGTGTATATAAACTGTTTTATTATATTTTGAGGGTTTAGGGTTTAGGGTTTAGGGTTTAGGGTTTGTGTTGTATCTCTGCAGCCCTCGCGTCTGTTCTCCTCCTTCTTTATCGAGTTTAAATATACAAGAAGATAATAAATTATTATTTATAAATCAACAACTGTCTCCTTTTTCTTTGTCTCCTTTTTCTGTCTCCGAAAGAAAAAATAAATTAATTAATTTGCATGCGCTCAATACGCTCAGGTTTGATCCTCAGCTTGTCTATACACTCGAATTCTCACAGGTACTATATATATATATATATATATATA